TACGCATGTTTTCATCTGTTTGACACTAGTTTATAGCATTATAAAGTATTCATATCTAAATAAATAAATCGCCTATCCTCCAAACCATCTGACATAATTCTACCGTAACATAATCCTTTAGTGGCATTTAGCAATTGGAAACATAACAAAACTGACACAGTTATATGGGACAACAATCACTGGTTTATTATACACAAGCACAACGTTTCGATAAGTATTCTCTTATTGTTATCAAGCACAATGACATTTAGTAAACTTGAGGGTCTGTATATATGTACAATGTGAAACCATTCTTATTACTAATGATTAGAGGAGTTCAAACAATTAACAGACATATTTAATGTCATTGTGCTTGATAACGATAAGAGAATACTTATCGAAACGTTGTGATTGTGTATAATAAACCAGTGATTGTTGTCCCATATAACTGTGTCAGTTTTTCTACCGTAACATCATGTGCTGCTGGCTGGAATGGAAATGTACACGACTCGTTGTCTGGTGTATTTATTTTAAAAAGTTCAAAACAAATTTCAGAAATACAGGCTATGAATAATTTACTGGAAAATTTGATGAAATCAAATAAATAGGTTGGGAAAATGTGTCACATAATATAATATAAATTTTAGTGTAAATGTAGACGGGATGTGAGAAAGGAATTCCAGGGGGCGTTACATGTCCGCCGCATGAGGCCTACTTGTAATAATGTCATGCACAGGTTTGAAGTCGCCATTTGATAATCAGTTTACTGTATTACAGATATTTTAGAATCGGAATCTAACACCTCAACGGCGAAGTATTCATTTAAAATGCAAGTTAGATACCTTTGGTGGAATTGTGGATACCGATTATTTATAGAATTGCACGAATCTTTGTGTCGCTGAGCCAAAGCAGATTCGCGGGCCTTCTGATTTCGAAGAAATAAAACGGATTCATCTGGACTGCGGTGTACGTAAAGCCCTAAACAATTTAAGGGTGTTTGTGGTGACCGAATTCTGGACTAATTATGAAATAATGATGATGAATAGACATTATGAACGAAAACATTAAAACATTTATAGTTTACGTGTATTTTATTATTATTTATAACCTTTATCAATCAAAGTTTACCTGTTTAAAAAATGCCGTAGTGACTAAAGTGTATTAAAAGTTTTGCCTTAGTGGGCATAAAAACTGCACATCAAATACTTCAAATTAGGCATGAATAACAGAGAATTTAGTAATTCAGAACATTGAAAAATATTTGGTTTTAAAACATATTTTTATACAGTATAGATGTGTGGTCGCTCGCAGGAAATTTCCACATTCCTATAAAAATCGCGCGAATATGAATCATGTGATGTAAACATTGTGGAGGGCCCTATCAAGAGGCCTTAAAATAATGGAATTAACTATCGTTACGTCTTTTCAGGCAAGTCCTTTATTTATAAAACATAATGCTTACTTCATAAATTAACATTGAGTTGCATTTCGACGTAATTTACCGTGAATATGGGTGTTAGAAACTTGAAATTAATTTTTTCTTCTTGTGTTGAAATGACGTCATTACATGCCAAACTACGTTATTCATTTTCCAGAAAATTATCCATTGTTGTATACCATTTTCAATTGCTCGGCGGCGGTTCCTAACATGCTTCAATTTTGTTGATTTTAATACAGATGAGAGTGATGAGAAGTGAAATTGGCTGAAAATTTTTTAACTGGTCAGAAACCATCAACGCAGCATGACGATGCCATGCTGCCAATGTAGAGGGGTTTGGGGGTATCCTTCCCCAGGAAATTTTTGAAAATAAGGCATTGTTTTAAGTCATTTCAAGTGTTTTTAGCCCATTTCCACTTGACAATTATATCACACATTTAACCGTCTTGGGGGCTAAAAATCATTGAAATATTTGAGATATAGAACTGACACCGGTAATAAGGGGTAAGATTTTTACTGTAACATTTAATATGAAAAGTAACTTGAGTTAATCATTCATTGACAATGACGAACAAAGCTCGTGAATCCTCTTCCTCCATGGTTAATTTCTTAATTACACCAAAGACAACATGCTTTTCCCGGCAGTTCAATTTAAATTTTATGCAAATTTAAATTCATTCAAACAAACTTTTTTCCTGCTATCCTTCGTCAAATCGACTTCTCTTTCAAGCCAGTCCCATCTCCATTTATTTTTAGATCCACTATCTATCTCTCGTGCACGTGATTCGTCAGTTCTGTTGATTATTGACATCATTCTTCATTTACATAATATATGAAGAGATAAAAATGGCGATAGCCCCGAAGTGATAATAACCGACACGTTTTGACCAATCAGAATGCTGTTATAGCTGATCATGGAAACAGTCGATTTGATACGAATCATGCCATGTGAAACGAATGCCAATCGGATCATCAAAGAATTTTTTTGTCCAAGTCGTCATGAGCTTGGCGTAGAAAACCAAAGTGTGTTCAAATTGAAGCGAATGCTATTTGCTATGGTTATGTCCTTTTTCACTAGTTTCCATACGGCGATAATTTTTGTTTGAATAATTATTACGTGGCTTTTTTTGGGTCTGTAGTCGAATTTATAAAAATTGCTTTAGGTCGATTGGCGAAAATCCGCCAATTGGCTGAAAAATCTCATGTCTGTTATTGTTAATAGCATTGAAACAACAATAAAACGAACTTTCGATCGGTTGGAGGTGCTATATTGGCAAATCGCCTTAAAAAAAGATTACGTGAATTGAAGCGTTCAACTTACAAAAAAGTCATATTATTTCGAAATGTCTTTATAGCACCCACGACCGATCGAAAGATCGTTCAATTATCTTTCTAATGATATTAAAATGAAAAAATAATATTAAAAATAAGAACCGCCACCGAGCACTTGAAGTGGGGTACCCTCGTTTCAAAACGTGAGAAAATTTTTTAGTGTAATGTCAAAACATGCGAAATTGACGTTTTTTAACTTCCGTTTTTGAAATTAATATAAGGAACACGTATATAAAAATTACATCAAACAAAAGAACAGTTTATCTGCTTCCAAAACATCTTTAAATTATTACAAATGATTAAATAGGGACTGTGTGACTTAAGTTGAAAAGAGGTTACAAATCGGGAAAAAAAGACTTTCTTCCAATGCAAGCAATGGAGCTGTGACACCTACTTCTATATAACTAACTGAAGTGACGAGTGATAACAGATTCACAGGCGAATTTCTGCTCACTAGTAATTCCTTAGAAGACCAAAAGTTGTTATATCAGACTGTGGGAGGATATCTGACAATTCAAAAAAATAATTGACTCTCACTTGATAAGAGAAAACGAGAAAAATAAAAAAGTCTCTGCATTACCATGTTTTTATAAAGTATAGAATGAACAAGCCAACAGTGAGGCTGATGTCCCCCGCTGAAATCCCAAAATAAATAGATGACACACATTAATTAATCGCACATTTTTTTTTCAAAAGTATCAAGCAATCAAACTATACACTAAGTTCCATCACTCTCTAATCAGATAGAATCAAGATTATCTTGTCCCAAAGCATTGACCAATGAAATTGATTAGCTCTGCTTAGCTTCAGCTCGAAATGTTAATCATTGAACTCAGTCAAGACATTCACCTAATGAACATCTACATCAAGTCTAAACATTCTACCTCAGTTAAAAGCAGAGTTGTTATGTTCCAAAGTCTTGACCAATCAAATTGCTTATCACTTATTAGCCTAAGCAGAAAATTCTCACCATCGAAATTAGTCAAGGTAATGATATAATGAATCTATATTTGGAGTTCCATCGCTCTCACATCATTATAACCAAAGTTATCGTGCCTCAAAGCATCAACCAATCAGATTGCTTATTTTTGCTTACCATAAGCAGAAAATGTTCATCATAGAACTCCATCAAGTCATTCACCTAATGAACGCCTATGCCAAGTGTGAACATTGTAACTCAATTAGAATGTGAGTTATTGTGTTCCAAAGTCTCGACCAATCAAATTGCTTATCGCTCTGCTTACCCTGAGCAGAAAATGTTCATTATCAAACTTAGTCAAGGTATTGATGTAATGAAACTATACACCAAGTTTCATCACTCTCACTTAATTAGAACTGAAGTTATCGTGTCCAAAAGCATCAACCAATCAAATTGCTTATCTCTGCTTACCCTAAGCAGAAAATGCTCATCTTCGAACTCCATCAATGCATTGACCTAATAAACACCTACACCAAGTTTGAAGATTCTAGTTCAATTAGAAGGAGAGTTATTGTGTTCCAAGGCCTCGACCAATCAAATTGCTTATCGCTCTGCTTACCCTGAGCAGAAAATGCTCATTATCGAACTTAGTCAAGGTATTGATGTAATGAAACTATACACCAAGTTTCATCACTCTCACTTAATTAGAACTAAAGTTATCGTGTCCCAAAGCATCAACCAATCAAATTGCTTATCTCTGCTTACCCTAAGCCGAAAATGCTCATCTTTGAACTCCATCAAGGCATCAACCTAATAAACACCTACACCAAGTTTGAACATTCTAGCTCAATTAGAAAGAGAGTTATTGTGTCCTAAAAAGTGTGATGGACAGACAGACGGACGGACAGACAGACGGACGAACCCATTATAATAGTGCCCTGCTTTCTTCGAAAGGCGGGGGACAATAAAAAAACAAGGGAATGTACGGGCTTTTTCTATTTTTCTCGTTTTCCCTTATCTAGTGGCATTCAATTACTTTTTTGAATTATCAGATATCCTCTCACAGTCTCACATAAAAAGTTTGGGTCTTCGAAGGAATTATTAGTGAGCAGAAATTCGCCCGTGTATCTGTTATCACTCGTCAATAAGTCAATTATATAGAAGGATAACTCGTGTTTTCCTTTAGCGTTCGTCACTTCCCTTTGTTGAAAGCTTCACAACGCATCTATCGTAGCAATAATCTCTGTATTAAAATTATATTTGGAACATATTTAACCAGTTCTATCACATATGTGATAATGACTGACACCAATATTGTCCTTTAACACCCACCTGATGACTGGAACCAGCCGATCCTCTCATTGGTGCTAACTGTTCTGATGATGCTAACTGAGCAGATGATGTCAACTTTCCTGACTGTCCCAGACTTTCAGATGTTTTAATAGGATTTAAAGCACCACCTCTATGCAGAGCAGGAGTTCCTAAACTTTGTTCTGCTTTCAAAGGTCCCAGATACTATAAATATAATAAATATAAAGGAAATCATAATGTAATAAGTCACATGAAACCACATAACAAATCATACATGTATGACTCTGTCACTTCCGGCATCGATACAATATGCCAGATTATACAGCATGACGGAATACTCAATTGTCTCAATACCGGATGTATTATTGTACCTCAAAAACCGGAAGTATTATTTTAATCCACCTTAAATTTCCAGAGCTTAAAATATGATAAACCTCTCTGTACATTCACAATTTTATTACATAAAATTATTACATTCTTACTTCAGGCACATACAAAACTTGTGCGTCATTCTGTTGATGTCTTCAAATTTAGAGTTCGAGTAAAATTGTTTCTTATATCACGATATTCAAATGGATCAAAATAAGGATAAAATCAATTTAAGAGTGTTTGTGTACCTATGGATAATGCGTGACGTGAATAATTAAGAGTGACAGGTTAGTTGCTGAAGCAGGGCTCACACTGTCAGTCGCCAAAGTCGCAATTTGCAATAAAAATATGTAAGTGGCAATTAAAATTTGATTTTGGCAATAATTTTAGCGATAATGTTTTGCGGTACTGGCGATTCTTTTTGAGAACTAGCTGAAAAAAAATCTTCAAATTCTAATCGTATTTATCCTGGATTAACCATTATTAAATGTCAATCGCCTGGCAGGATACTTTAAATTAATCAACTGGCTGATAAACCGGATCGCATCAATGACTAATACTAATCAGTTGTCTTGGATTAATGATTAGTTGATTGATAATTGCCAATGATATATATAAAGCCTATCTGAAGTCATCATTTACTCCTAATGATTAATCCAAGCGGCGATTATTTGATGTTTCGTTTCGTCTTACAAAGAATGGTAATACATGTAATCAAAATGACAGACAGTTCCTTTTGAATAGAGTTAATTATTTTGATACCTGAATTCCGTTTACAGTGATTTCATATACGGCATGTAAAATATACAAGCATGCATATTGGATATCGTTATTTCAAATTATATTATTACCACTGGTCGAAAATGTAAGAACGAATTGAATAGTGACGATTCTTGAGCAAGAAAACAGTACGACATTTGTATCATATTACTGTCGCCAAAATGCTCTAAAAGTTAACGACGGGTATATTTGTAAGCATCTTTTACAAATATAATTGAAATTTATATCATTCTATCAGGGATTCAGATTCTGATACCTGTATGGTACCTGAAAATAACAATTTGCCCCATTGTACACGCAACACATAAATTTATAGTAAATTAATTGACAATGCCTGGATGAGATTTGACATGTAAATACTGAAAATATATTGTGCAGTATGGTGCTCAAATAGACTAAAGTCACCAAAAATAACATCTGATCTTATTAAATCCAAACTTTGCTAATCTATTATGTAAAGACAGACTTTTAAAGTTGTTGTATATTGTGTATTGTATATATCGGTAAGTTTTTTTATAATAAGTCTAGCTGAGACATTACATTGTTAGATGTTGTCTTTTTTATCACACATTTTTGGCAGATAAAATATTCCAGTTGGCAGGAGAAAATATGAACATTTTATTTATATAAGAATTATCATCAATTTTGGCGGAAAAAAATTGAAAGCCAGTGTGAGCCCTGTGCTGAAGCAACAAGTATTAAAGTAAGAAGTCGTACCGACATCGCTAGCCATTTTGTAATGAAGTACACAAGATATGATTGGAGTGACAAATAAGATGTATGTTTCAGCCAATGAAACAAGCGGCTGCCATGCAAGATATGACCACATTTTGCAAGAGATGGACAGAGAACAAGCTCAAAAAAGAAGCGATTTTTCGTACAGTCAGGAGCCATAATCTAGGAAATTATGGTCCGATATGCGTAAAAATCTACAGGAACCTAGATCTTCGGGATATAAACCTATTTTAAGTTTCATCAAAACCACATAAAAATTGTGACCTCTAGAGTGTCCACAACTTTGGTACTACATACTTTTACACCTTTTGCGTTCAAGGAGCGACCATTTTGTCTGACATTTTCGGTCCGATATTTAAGAAATTTGAACTCAATCATAATCAGGGTGTAATGATGATTTATTTAAAAGCTTTTTAAAATAGGATAAAAAATCTGACCTCTATAGGGCCCACAAGCTAAAACATGATTTTTATATAATCAGGGGCCGTAATTCAGGAAGTTACGATCCGGTATGCACAAATATAGAAAAGAACCACGATCTTTGGGTTATAAACATGCCTTTCAAGTTTCATCAAAATCAGATGAAAATTGTGACCTCTAGAGTGTCCACAAGGTAAAAACATAATTTTTTGTACAATCAGGGGCCATAATCCATGAAGTTATGGTCCGATACATGCCAATATCAAAAGGAATCAAGATCTTTGGAAGTTAGACCTATATTTCAAGTTCGTCAAAATTGAATAAAAATTGTAACCTGTAGTGTGTCCGCAAACAATTTGTGGATGGACAGGGGCGACAGCATAATACGTCCATATGAAAATGTGGGTGCATAAAAATTGTTTACTAGGGGTAACAGTACGATAGTGCCTGCCTATTATAATATGGTTTCTTTTTTAGCGGTTTTTAACACAGAGCCATCTATTATCAAGGTAATAAACAAAGACCAACACGTTTTAAGCTTAACGATAATTGATTCGTGATTGCTTGTCGGTTAACACCCACAGATTGAAAGGCCGGATTATCCAATGTTAATTCAACACAAATCGTGTATTAGGCGCATATGTAGATAAGGCGCAGGTTGAGTTTGGCTGAGGTATTTCAGGAAAAAATAAAAGTGCATGGTTTAGGTGCACTCTTCTCCAGCGCCTTGTGAAACACATGCCATACTATACGTGATTCAAATACACCTGCGATCTCCAGTAACTTGGCCAAACTCTACTGTTTAATTACCGATATTTAGCCGTATAAAGCTTTATATATTTCTTTATGAAATAAAAAACTCTATATACATTTTTTTGACATGCATAAAACTTTTTATTAATTATAACTTTCGATTGAATTATTTCATAACTTAAAGGAGCTAAATCGCTAATATTTTTAACCTAGAAATTGACATAAATGGGTCGTAACGCATGTAATAATGTAATAGGAATATATATAAACTGATTTACATTCAATCGTTTCCATTTTTACTCTAATTTCGAATCAGTTACGTTCGGCGAAATATGTCAGAATTCTCAATCGAATGAAATCTCTAGTGTCTGGTTATTCTAGTCTACATAGTATTTATTGCGCATACTCTCAGAATATGAATATGCCGTCACCGTTTGACATGACTTGTTGAATGTCTAGCCTCGTTCTTCGAGTCCCTTGTTAGAATGGGCCTGAAACGCATTATGGTACACGATTCGTGTACCAATGGTAAAATGTTTATTTTGTCTTAAATATTGGATATCAGAAGCCCATCTTTTTCCGGTAAGATCACAACATCAATGTTGATTTAAATTGACAAATAATTCGTGTTTTCAACGTCGAAGATTTTGGATAATATTGAGTTAGAGACTTAGCTACTTTAAATGGTAATTTTGGCGCTCGTACAGTAGACAAATTGTCGTCAATGTCCTGCTCACAATAAACATGACCGTCTATTACATCCTGTTAAAATCTTGAGCAATTGGCTGTGATAAATGAATAGGTATTGATGATAAACAAATGAAATAATAATTGTAGAAGTAATTTATCATGATCAGCTACTCACAACTTAAATCCCAATTACCGGTAAAAGAGAAACAATAACTCTAGTTTATTTTATACTATCCAAACAACTGACAATCAAACGATGGTGTCCATTGGCCCACCCACTACATGTGGCATGACAATACCTAGATTGTAGCAATTTAAATCTATCAGTAACATAATACAATAGCATTTTTAATACCAATCAAAGAAACAATGATTTGGTGAACTACAAACAACTTCATAAAGCATACGGGTGACAACTCAACCGGCAGATAATTATCGATATCGGTAAATTACAACAATGGATCAATCAGTGAATCTATGTTGCATGAAAACACATTAAGAAGATTTGCCGTTTTGACAACAGGTTATACTGAAGAACTTCAAAATATGTCAGTAACTGTAATACCACCCTTACTACCGATCACTTATATTGAGCCAATGAAAATGCTTGTATGAATGCATACCCCGCCCTATTCATCAACTTGACTGATAACACCACTGAGCTTGAATGGGGACGTGTGAAGACTGTCAGTAATGGCCAAGAGTATACGGAATAGCAGAAATATATGATGTAGAAATAGCAAGAAATATTAACTATACGTATGCTATTACGTAAACTTTTGAGGTAGCATCACCCGGCCAACATGTGTTGATTCTAGGGCAGTTATTTCTTGAACTCCTGACTTCTGTGTTGACACGGGAAAAGCCTGGATTTGCTTAACATTATGTATTAGACGCACCCCTTCTAGAAAATAAAATATTTGGTAAAAAAAGTGTGCCTAATACACCCAAAAATACGGTAATAAGGAAATAAATCAGGGCATGGATGCTGTTTCACCCGTATATGTCGGACACGCAAGCTTACAAATGTCCAACTGGGAATATGCCCCATCGGACATCTAGATGGTGAAACATTATTCAAAATTCCAAAAAATATTTACTGTACTGAGGGAATAACTATTATTAATCGTGACTGATTAAATAATTAAGTGATCAACCCTTTTCTTTTATGGTGTTAAACAACTTCCTTATGTGTTAAACAACTTCCATATGTGATAAATTACTTAATCGGCCTTGATTGACTTTCTTAATCTACATGATTTCCTTAATCATGAAAACAATTTGTGGTTTCTCCTTCATCAGACATTTTAATCCCCATGATGTCAGTTGATGAAATGTTAAAAGTAGTCAAAGATTAGTCAATTTACATGTAAGCTGACTGAGAATCAGTTTACGATGTAAGTAATTATAGTCAGATCCTTAATGTAAATCCGACGGTTTTTCGGGTAGAAATCGTG